ACTCTGGTGCAAAACCTCCTGAACAAAATCAGTCCAGACTTGGAAAACGTTGACGTGCAGAAAATGATGGGCAGGTGGTACCAAGTAAGTGGACGGTTTGTTCTGTTGTAATCAAAACTTTGCGATTTATGCACAGCTACGTACATGGATGGTTAGTACTATGAGACGGAGAGTTTATATGGGTCGAACAGTGCATTTACATGTAACGGTTTACATTTAACATATAACGATTAAATATTAACTATAAAAGTTAGACGCGATGAGCACAAATGAGATGGTTTGTACACATGACAAGAATACCGAACGAGAAAGTCGCCAAAAGTACATTATACGTTAACCTACGTTTTCGCATGTCGCAAACCAGCCACATTGCAAGTGTAACATCTGAATGGCGTGTAATATCTAACAGGATTTCAGTATAGTAAAATATTTCCAACAGTCTTTGTTAAACGATTGCCTTGAACCATAAATAGGAAAACGAAGATACTTAACGGGAAACGAATCGATATCACCTGCTATGTCCACCTAAAAAAGTGCAATCGACCTAATTTACGTGATACCCATTTTCATAGAACGGTTAATTTCAGGCTGTGAGGACAAAGCGCTCAGCCATCTTTCTAAAAGTCTCTGTTCTGCACTAATTGGATCAGGAACATAAAAACGGTTGCAAGGTGCGATAATTTAGATATCTTAACGAAGATTACTTTTTAGGAACGCTATTCCTTTGTTGTTGCATACATTGTAAATTTAACGGTTGATTCCAACGATTCATTTTGCCTTACGACCTGAACTTCCAGTTGCAGTAATACGCCTAAGAAGCAAGTCAGGAGATCATAGGCCTGTCCTTTGGTCGTGTGCACTGTGGCTTAACGAGTTTATCCGTTTACATCTTGATGACCTGTTGAAATCATCCCGATTGGGTTCTATTACTCCGGAGAGAAGGCACCTGAAATGTAGCCATTATACCAATAATCAATCAGAGTCAAGAAATGAAAAAGTTCGAATCTTAGATAAAATCGAGTTCAGATTCAGCAACTGCTCGACAACCTTCGGTCAGTGGAAGATCAATCTTTAAACGAGAACACTTCCAAGAAAAATGGGATATTACTTATTCTATTGACCATCACAGAAAGCAAAAATTATGCCAATATGAATTAGCCTTGGAAACCATATGATATGGATTGAACTGCATGAAAAAATTGATTGGATACATACGTATTCGTCGACTTGATTATATTCAGGAATAAAGGAGAACGAGGATAATACAACCGCAAGCAATAATCGAGTAAAGTAATAAATTTTACTATCGCGATGATAGATACTGTAAAATAAATTATGGAGATTAAAAAAATGTACGTAGACAAACAGAAACTGTGGTTAATGAAAATTACAGTGCCTGCTAGGTGCCGTTCAACCCAAACCTCTTCCCCCTGTAGCACAAGCAATAGAAGACGAACGTTCAATCAAGACAGTGTATCGACTCAAGTTCTTTCTACTACTCTGTTCATTCTAAATGACAGTTGCACAGGGACACTTGACGACGTGGCAATGAAATACGCTATATTTGGCAAATAGAAGGGTTTTGCATGAATTTTGCAGATACATGTTCTTCGATTTTGTCCTTTCATTCTGTTGGATGTTTTTATGGATTTTGCTTAAACTTTGGAACTTCTAGGTTATAACAAGTCCGCATGTCTTCAAGGAATCCTGTACCATCACTCAGTGTAAGTCGTTGAGCCTGTACCATGTCTACATGTCTGCAAAAGTTAAATACAAGTTAACTTGTCGTAAAATTAAATGGGGTGAAAGGTTGTCGATATTTTCATAGACTGACTAAAAGCTAGACTTGCTATAATACGGACGATAAAAGAACTACAATATAATATATGATTAATGAATAATTGATTAATTAAAATGATAATGACATAAGTTAGCACAAAATATGAAATTCTTTCATTATGAAAATATAACGATACTGGTTGAGCGTTTATTAACTTTCAACAAGTGACAAATATTGAAAAAAAAAGTTACAATGAACTGAAGAAGAGTCGGAATACGTAATACCAAAATTTTATATGAAGTATATAAGAGAAACACACCATTGGCTAC